ATAAGAGTGCCCCACAAGGTGTCCTACAGGAGTATCCCACAAGAGTGTCCTACAAGAGTGTCCCACAAGAGTGTCTCACAAGAATGTCCCACAAGAGTGTCCCGCAGAGTGTCCCACAAGAGTGTCCTACAAGAGTGTCGTACAGGAGTGTCCTACAAGAGTGTCCCACAAGAGTGTCCCACAAGAGTGTCCTATAAGAGTGTCCCACAAGAGTGTCCCACAAGAGTGCCCCACAAGAGTTTCCGACAAGAGTGTCCTACAAGAGTGTCCTACAGGAGTGTCCCACAAGAGTGTAGTGTCGTGTAAGAGTGTCCCACAAGAGTGTCCTGCAAGTGACCCACAAGAGTGTTCTACAAGAGTGTCTCACAAGAGTGTCCCACAAGAGTGTCCTACAAGAGTGTCCCACAAGAGTGTCCCACCAGAGTGTCCCACAAGAGTGTCCCACAAGAGTGTCCTATAAGAGTGTCCCACAAGAGTGTCCTACAAGAGTGTCCCACAAGAGTTTCCTACAAGAGTGGCCCACAAGAGTGTGCTACAAGAGTGTCCTACAGAGTGTCCCGCAAGAGTGTCCTACAAGAGTGTCCTTTGGACATATTAGTTTTTCGATCGTGTGTGCATTCGGGTTCGTGGGTTCCATCTTGTTTAATTTACTTGGTTGCCTGAAACTGATTAGACCCATGGCGCTCTCCTGAAATTGACACCCCAAGCCGAGTGGCGTAGGCTAGAGCTGCACCATTTCGTTGCACTGCTGCAAGGATAAAGAGGCGGTCTTTGGCCAAGCCCTGAAGACATTGAAAGCATTTGAAATGGATTCAGTTTTTACAAAGGGAACCTAATAGCGATGGCCTCCAACCCAAAATCTAGTGGAGGATCCTTTATGAGTTTTGCAGCTGTGAACACCTGCATACATGCTGTACCAAATGTCACCCAGCCTCGTCAACCTTTTTCAACACCTGACTGCTGCTTTGCACGGCGGAGAGCACTACCTGCCAGAATGATCAACTGCTCTGTCTGATGTTGCAATCTCCTTATGCACTATGTGGTCGTCATTCAGGGACATGACGTTCCGTTGCCCCCCCGGCTCACTTCCTCCGCTGGGCTCACCACTCATTCGCTGAATGATGGCGTTAGTTATAGATTATAGTGATTTGCTGGATCTCCAGGAAATTTGCCGGCAAACAGCCCGGTCTCAAATGCAAGCGTTTTCTTCGTGCAAACTGTCAACTGGTTGTGCGAATCCTGACACACTCCCAGCCCAGCGCTCCTCTCGGTCGGAGCGAAGCTCTTCTGGAACAAAGTTCAATGCGGAACTGTTCCTGCCACGGGCATAGGTCGGGACCAGTGTAAGCAACATAAGCAAGCATGAATCCAGGTGAGCACTTAGTAAATCCATCGGCTCAAGAAATCAAGCCCGCCAAATCCATTGGTGTTAATAAACTATTAGGTTGGAGGCCATCGCTCATCCTGTCCCTGACTCATCCTGACTCTTGCGCCGAGCTGATCAGATGATCTCGCAGTCCTCCGCACTGCTTCAATGACAAAGTCTTTGCTATGTCGAAGCTTCGCACTCGCAAACCAAAGTGCCATTCCTGTCACCTGAAAGATTGAGCTTGAGCTGACTGGTTGTTTGCGTGCGGGAACACTTTTGGATTCTTCTCAAAAAAAATCTCAACAATGGAGAAACACGCACACCAAACAAAGCTGTCAAGAAAAGGGCCGCCCAAAGAACCCCCCCTCACCTCGATTGCCTTCATCACAAAATCCTTCTGATGCCAAAAGTCCTCCTGTACATATTGCAAAGATGCGGGATTTGCTTCGGCAGCCAGTAGCACAAAGGCCATATCAGCTTGCAAACACTGCGCAGCATAGCATAGAGCTACTCCATCACTTTCTATTGCAACTAGAACAAGTTCGCGATCCCGGCGAACTTCCTCCGCTGCATGTTTGAGAACTCCTGGCACTTTCAAGGCATCCTTGAGGAATCGTCTGTTCTCTTTCAAGTGCTCGGCCGCATAAGGCAGTGCTGCACTGTTCTGCTGCAAAGCTCTTTGAACGAAGCTAGCATCTGATCTGAGGCTCTCTGTGGCAAATCCTAAGGTCATTTCATCTTTTTTCACTGCAGCCAGCACCAACTCAGGATCACATCGGAATTCCTCCTCGGCATACCGCAGGGCTCCAGGATTCAGTTGCACCGCCAGCAGCACAAAGTCTCGATCGAGCAGGAGCTGTTCCGAGACGTAACGCAAGGCCAAGCCACTGCGCTGGATGGCATCTAAGGCGAAGCTTCGATCTCGGCGAAGCTCCAAATCGGCATAGCACAAGGCGGTGCCATTGAGTTCCACAGCCGACAAGATGAAATTCCGATCACTCCGAAGCTCAGTGGAGGCGTAGCAAAGGGCAGTTCCATTGCGACCTGTCCCGACTGTTACTACGGATTGAAATCACCATCTTATAAATCAAACGCTGGTGCTGAAACGCCCTGCCTATAGCCTGCAAAACGAAGTCCCGATTACATTTCCACTCATCTCCAACATGACAGAGCACATCGCAGCTCCGCTCAATGGCCGTCAGCAAGAAGTCGCGATCACTTCGAAGCCGGTCAGATGCGTACCGAAAGGCACTGCCATTTGCTTTCACAGCAGTAAGCACCAGCTCAGGATCTCCTCTGTAGCTTTCCTCCAAGTGAGTTAGAGAGCCACCAACAGCTACATGCTCGAGTGCAGCTGTACGTTCTGCATCCGCACGGATGAGCTCCACAGTAGTGGTCTTGTTTGCACCCCCCGGCAAGAAGTCCATGAGTCGTTGATTTTCTTTCTGTGTCCAAGCCTTCCCACCAATCTGCAGCTTTTGTTCATGCGTAGGGATGCCCGAGGCAGAAAGGATGGCTTCCTTGAGCTCCTCGTCATGGTTTTCTCAGAGCAAACACACATACTGGGTTTTGCGACAAAGGATCCCTTTTGTGGATTTGCTTGAATGAAAAGAAACTTGGCGGCCTTGAACAAAGAAACAAGGCTTGGTCCTGCACACACCAACCACCATCTGCCTCCACTGTGCAAAGCAAATCGCCAGTGATGGCCCCCCACTACTTGGATCGAAATATGGGAAGGCAGTGGAAGTTGCTCATCCATGCTTTGGTCAAGCAGGGCTCATTCCATGAACGCGGGACATCATGGGTGGAAGGGCACTATTCGCTATGAGTGAAGCTTGCCAGGTTGTTGACTAGAAATGAAGGAGCAGGTGGACTCGCATCTAAATAGATGTTGCATAAGCCTTCACTACGACCCTACCTTTTGAACCACATCTGGACAGATTGGAATGGCCCCTTCGGTCTCTCAATGTGCGACTTCGCAAGTTTCGGTCGTCGAGCTCAGACAGCGTCACAAGGGCGAGAAGTTCACCCCGTCGTTTTCTTTACAAATTAATCAAACAGAGTGCTGGAGGGCCGTTCGTAGCGTCCTTGCTCCTAGTAGCGATGCCAGGAGCCCCTAGTAGCGTCCTTGCTCCTAGTAGTAAGGCCAGGAGCCCCTAGTAGCGTCCTTGTTCCTAGTATTGAATGTCTCAAGTCATTCTCTTTTGCTGTGCTCAGAGAAGTGCGAACTAATCTGGCTCCAAGCAAACTTTTTCTGCTCAAAAGATTGACTCCTCAGCCTTTGCCTTAGAGTGCTGCCATTAGACCGCCGCACTCCACGGCACTTCCAAGGTCTGGACAGGAGTAGATGTGCTGGTGTCCTGCTGTATAACATGCACCAGCCAAATGCCCAGTGCTGAAACCCATTCCGGCAGAACCAAAAAAATGCGGGTGTTGATCCAACTACTAGGTTTGAAGGCGCACAAGTGCAGCCACATATATTATATATATACTGTGTATATATATACACATAAATATATGTCAATAAGGATAACTCTTCTGGCACGCTCTTCTTATTGGCAGGGCCTCCTCGCTTGGAGGCGCCTCGTTTAGGGAGGCCATTCTAGCAGCACGCCTAGCAAATGGCCAAGTTGGCTTTTGTCGTTCCCTCTCAATTCCACAAGCATTTCGGTCACTCACATTGCCAAGCTTGGACCCAACGAATTCCAGCTCAAGCAGCGCAACGTCCATGCAAAATGCTTTGAAACAAACATTCACGTTTGGTAGCTCCGTACCCTTGCGCCTCTTGGCCCTCTCTGCTTCTCGCTTTCTGTCCAATTCGGCCTCGTTCTCACGAAGGCTCCCGATAAGAATCAAATTGAATTTAGCTTGCTTCAATTTGTATCGCCGCGTGCTTCAATCAACGTTGCAGGATCATACCAAACGCGCAAATGCAAGGCAAAGCTGCCCAAATCCTCTGCTGCTCGTCCCATTCAGCCTCTAAGCGCCTGCCATAGGAAATTTTTCAGGTCAAGTATAGAATTACCATTCAAGCCATGTGCGAGAATATCATCGTCAATATTGTCTCTTTTCTTGCATGCAAGCAAAATCAAATGACAATGTATAAAAGCAATATATATATATATATTGCAGTTCTTATATCGTATCATAGGGAGAGGTCTCGGAGAGGTCCATGGTTGTCCATCTTTACGCCGCAAATCTGAAAAGCCGAACCGTCGGTAGGCAATGGCCAGCTCTTTGGAGCGGTCAAACCTTATACCAAAGCAATGATCCACAGCCACATCGGCCACATCGCTTAAGTTTTGGCTTTATGCATTTTCCGCTGCAAATGTTCTATGATGTTTTGCTGAACAAAAATCTGAGGGTTGACCCTCTCACACCAATGTCATATTCACTCACCAGGCTTTTAGAGCAAAATTGTGGATCCCAGCCCTGAACTCCACCTCCAACTGAGCACAGAATGGGACCAGCTGTCGTTTTCATTGACTTAGACTTGAGACTCGGTCCCATAGATTGCCACCCTGAAGTAGCAGCTGCACCTAAGACAGCCCCACTGAAACACATAACATCTTCAGTTGGAATGCTCAGCTTCTGGATCTTCATTCCAACGAGTGTCCATCATTACTACCACGCGTATTTCCCTGAGAACCACGCTTTACAAAGAAGTTATGTTCGAAATCTTTCCTGTGGAAGAGTACTCTCCATCCACCTCGGGCTCAAACTTTGTGCTCAAAGCGCTTCGACAAGTAAGGACACTTGAGAACAACAGCATGTTGTCCATTGTTGTCCCAAACCAGCTCATTTTCTTATTCTAGATCCCATTGTGAAACATCCTCATGAAAGCCAAAAGTTGGAATGCCTTCATCCTCATTGGCTTGTATTCTCGGTGCTGGAGGCACTTCAGTCTTGCGCGACCTCTTCAAAGGTCTCTCCAACTCAGATGGGAGCATGCCGTTCTGGCTGACGGCTCCATCGTTCGTTGTCTTCGGTTTGGGCACGAAGGCCACCGGCTGCTCTTGCATAAGCTTGAAGCGGTCGGTGATCACGGGGTGCGCTGGATCGATCAACAGGGGGCACAGCATGGAGACTTCAGCTGGAGACCTTGACACCATGAGGTGGCATACACAGTGGTAGCCATGATGGAACAAGTTCCGCAAGACCGGCATCCTGAGGGCTCATACGGGCTCAGGTGACCTTGTACATGCTTTTGTCATGCTGTTGCCATTCAGTGATGCAACTCATCCATGGCTCAAAACACAACTGAACCATCAGAAGAAAGAACTGAAACTCATCGCTTGATCAACAACATCAGTATAAAATGTGTCTTTACAAATCTCTACAGAAGTGCTTTTGTCTGCTTGAGAAGCCGCAAACAGAGCGCCTGAAGCACGCAGCTCCCAGATCCATGGAGGTTGACAGTGGAGACTCCAAGCAAAGCTGCACACCTGGACGGTCCTGACGTTTGGCTTTCTCTGGGAAGCGATCTGCTTTGGAGAAAGTGGCGCCGCCTACGGGACCGAAACGGAGCTTGTCGGTTGGATCATGAAGAAAAACATATGCAAAGAAGAGTTGCAAGATGCTATAGGGCCGTTGATCATTAAGCCTCATCAAGTCATCAGACCTTGCGACTGATGCACAAGAGCTCTCTCTTTCTCCAGCCTTCCAGCACTGAAATGCCTGTGGAGTAGTTGAAGTCCTGTCAGCGTTCCATGTTCAAATACACCCCCAAAGCCCACTTGGCTTCAACCACTGAACCCTGTCCTGACCATAGTATTTCAAGAAGTCAAACAATAAATGGCCCAAAGAAGTTCCAGCATAGTAGCGCTGATTCTTAAGAGATGGATGCCGTTGCAGAAAGTGAAGTACAACATTGCAGAGGAGATACGAGCCCATGCCACCTGTGTAAGTTTCGTGCAATCCTCGTTGAAGAAGAAAATACTTCAAGAAAAGTAGTAAGGGCTTCATCTGAGGGTACTCTTTCACCTTGGAGCGAATAAACTTGGAGGATGTTATGCCATCCGGTTGGCTGAACACTACATCTGCTCGAAGACCGCATGCTTGGGATCTGACCTTCATCACAGGCACTTTGGCTGTTTCAATAATTTCTAGCCAGCTGATCTGCCCCTTAGAGAGCATATAGTCAGCCAGCATCTTCATGGCAGTACCGGACTTGCATGGCACTTCGGAGACAGCAACATCGACATCACCGTTGGGTAGAGAAAGTCCTGTGAAAAAAGGAGCCAAAAACGGAGACCTTGCAAGCAGGCCACATTGCCACACAGGCCTCTTTGATGCTTTGAACCCATTTCTTTCGAGCTTGAACTTCCTCCCGGGTGTGCTGCATGAAATCCACGAAGTCCAAAATCTCTTCATGGAGACGAAGCACGGAGTTTTCAATGTGTGGTCGAGGAACAAACCATGGCGGTTGTCCTTCATCCACCATCTTTGCTCTCATGGCTTTCGCCTTCACTGCCATGAAGGCTTCAGGTGCTTCGGCCTCAGGTACTTTGTCCTTGGCTTCCGCTTCCCGGCGTCGTTTCAGCATGGATCTCATCGAAGCATTTCGCTCGGCTTGTTCTGCGTTCCTCTCCGCGTCCTCCTCTTGGATAGCGGCATCCTCCTCCCGGAGCCATCCACTGGAGCTACCCTCAAACTCGGTTTCCATGGGGAACTACGCAAAGGACACCTAAACGGAACCGAAACGGACTACGCTCCAGACTTCCTTGAGCATGGGCCAAGACCAGCTCAAGCGAAACTCTTGCCGCACTTGACGCTAACCAAAATTCATCAAAATTCAACCCTTTGTGCTGAATAAGATCTGGACCACAAGCATGCCAGCGCACGCCCTGGGGCTGCAGCAATACTTGAGCTTTTTTGAACCCTTTGCTCGACCGAACATGTAAGACACGGATTATGATTGAAGTACAGGTTAGATCACTATCATCATCTACCACGTCTTAAGGGCAATTGTCGTGTCAAGCAGTGTTGATCTATCAACGATTTCTAATTGCACTTGGGCCGTATTGCTCTCGTGCTCGTGATGCTCAGAGGCTTTTGAGAGGTGGCAATGTAGCACCTGGAATCAAGGTAAATACATATATTATTATATGTATTTTTTGTCGCCAGCTCAAAAGGGCTCCAGGAGTTGTAGTTTGAAAATGCTTGAAGTTGATCTCTTTTGAAGTGATGTTATTTGTTTAACTTTTCTTTGTAAGCGAAGACCTTGGGAGGCCACCTCACCACTGATCACACTTGTCACATAAATTGCTATATAATACGATCTAATACGCCATAGTAGCATATGTCCATTGATGTGGAGATTTTATCATACTTTATCTGCAATTAGTCTGTAGTTCATCTTTTTTATAAATGTTGTTAGGTGTTTCTTGTCGTTTCTTCGTGGAACCGACTCCTTGACATCACACTTGTAGCGCTCCCAGTCGATGGATCCGGCTAACCGCTGGGCCTTAGGCAGCTGAGTCCCACAAGTTCTGGATAACCTGCTTTGGTAGTAGAAAATGTATATAGTATATAAATATAGGAAGAAGAACTCAACAGTGTGCCTGAATTTGATTGTCAACTTATCAACCTTTCAAAACAGTCATGAAACTTTCACTCCGCATCTGCAACCTAGCCTTTTCAAGCTCAGATCATTCCTGGCCTCAACCGTTCTTGTGGAGAGCACTCTCCGAATGGGCCCGGAAGCCAGGAGCGAAAGTGGCAGGGGCTGGTACCCCTGCAGAACGGCCGTATCGACCACGTGACCAAGGATGAAAGGGATACTGTACTCCAAAGTCATACAGTTGTTCCGAGAGTCTTGGCAGAAGAGCTCAAATGCTCTGGCTTCTAGCTTCTATCAAGTTCTGTGAATCCATATACACAGTCAGTAATATATATAATTAATGACAAATGTGCACTGTGAAAGATCTCCTGAGGTAGGGATGCCGGCCTCAGGTTTCGGCTCATAGTGGGTCTCCTTCTTTTGCAAGATGCGGCCACGTGATCGCCGCCGCTGCCGCACTCGCTTGGTGCCGAAGGCACGAAGCGACGAAAGCGGAAGCACGGCGGCGCCCTCCACCTGGCTCGCTGCCTCAGCTTCGTGACATGCTCCGGTCTCGTCACAATCAGACTGTGAGCCCATTTGTTTGTATGATTGGAGAGGAACAATGCTTTCCTTTACAAAGAGCCCGCTGTCACTGCAAGTTCCAGGTTTTTGCCTTTCTGAGAGCTTCCACCAGGCGAGGAAAGCATGAGCGCAGGGCGGACCACATTGCGCGCCGATGGCTTGGCTTGGAAATGTTTGTGAATTGAAGAACATTCTGCCAGCGTCATTTACTCTCAGCAATGGACCATCTCTCAATCTTCAAGTGAGTACTTTTTCCAGAAGACGAAAGCTAAGTCGTGCACAATTATTCAGCATGTGTGAGCAAAAGGGCTGCTTCATCTTCCGGTCAGCAGCTAAGAGTGACAGTGAAGCACTTCAAAGCATGATCATATCGGAAGCTTTTGCAGACAGACATCCTTCAGATCTGCCTCTGGTGATACAAAACACCTCGCTCTATCCTTGGGCTCCTGCCCACTTCGACAACTGGAATTTAATTTGCTGTTTGTTGATAGCTAGGCATGGAGCAAGGGTGTGAGACAAGCTCGCGAAACTGCATTAGCCAAACATCTACCTTGAAGCCCACTTTGTACGGGCCCAAGTCTCAAAAAGCCGTAGAGTCATGGTCGTGATCTCTCCGCCGCAGTGGTGATCGTGATTCCGGGATGTTCACGTCAGTCCGCGGTTGCTTGTGCCTTTGCACTTTGAGGAACAAACCATTGCCGAATGGGACAAGCCAGCCACAAAGCTGATCAAACCGTGCTGTCTGAGGCAAGAACTTTCGCAGCTCTCTATTCTCCTCATCTGGTTCCGGCAGAATCCTGCAAACAAAAAATGGTGGGAAGCGCACTTCATCAGCCTTTTATCTGCACGGGCATGCAGGGGCTGTGATGATCGCATGCTTCATGCATTGCAATTCGAACGTGCGCTTTCCACCGGCCAGTCGAACCATCGGCACCGAGTGTCCTCTGCTGACTCAAATGATAGAGCTTTGGATCACCAGTAGGCCAACGCGCAACCAAGGGATCATGATGCTGGTGAGCAACCCACCTCAGCCAAAAGGCAAAAAGGAAATGCCACGAATTCCGTGGAGAAACGTGCTGCAAACGAAGAATGACACTGGAATGGGATCGGTTCTTGTGGTGCGGCGTCTCTTTCAGCGGGCTGCGATACCACAATCCACAACTAACACACTTGGTCTGGTCTAAGACAATACAATGCCATACAATACCCAATATGTTTTGACATTTAAATCTGGCACTCCAACATTCTAAACTGACTAAACATGACTAAACACTTTGAGATCTAGTGCATCATAGTGCATCTTGATCACCAAGCATGCAAAACCAGCGTACAATACCAAGGCTGTTTCACCAAGCTGCTTTTTCTTTCCCAGCATTTCAACGACACAACCATGATTTCGAGTATCATGGATGCGAGCACCGTTCGGGTCCTGGCCCATTGAGTCGATCGTGGATGGCAAACACACATCGTCTAACCCTGAAGGTGAACAAGAAGCTAGTAACAAAGGGCATCCCTACTAGGAGCAAGGACGCTACTAGGGGCTCTAGAAACAAGAAGCTACTAGTAGCAAGGGTGTCTACCGTCTTGGATCTCCACAAGTCATTGAGTATCACGAAGCCATCCAGAAAAGTCACCCAACAAGCCAGCAGCACTTTGGGGTCTTCCCGCAATGTGACTTCGTATTCAATGTGTCGACGCACCTCAGAAAAGAATGCTGGAGATCTCATGGAGATGTAGCGTCTCATGGAAAGCAATTAGATCTCATGGTTGGCCCGGTTGGCGCGTCAAGGTCTAAAGGAAGCGACCTTGCGGCCCCGAGAAGTGTCTTCAATGAGATGCCGCCAGTATGAAGCCTGCAAGGCTTTGGAAGGCTTGGGTCGGGTAATCAAGCAGGATGCTTCGAGTGTTGAGAAACTTATCAAAGATGGGACAAGACATTTCCCCCGTCTATCCTCAGTCATGCCGCCCGAAACTGATGTACTTCCGAGATTGATAGGCTGCATGTACCAAGTGTATAATGTGTATAATATACAGTTCCGGCGTACTATGGGAAGCTCTAGTAACGAGACTAGTATCTGTAGCAAAGCAACAGGGTTGACAGCATGCTGTCAATACTTTTGAGCTCAAAATCCTTTTAGAGGCCTGGACAATGCGCGACTCTTTTCTCTTTTTTCGCCAACTGATGCTTTCGGGTGTGAAACGGTCGAACTCTCACACACACACACAAAGACTACGTGCTACACCAAGACTTGTATCAAATATGTGTAAAATGGTGTTGAACTCAAGGTAAAGAAATCAAATGACCAAAGTGTCGTTGATTTAACTTCTTGGTGAAATGACCTCACTGTGCGTCTTCCGCCTGCCATGAGTGCCCTCTGAGCATCGCCTCAAAAGGTTGTAACACAACCGACCACCCAGTCGTGGGAAACCCACCAAGCAAAAGCAGTTATTCCTACCAAGACATGTCAAGCTAATGTATTGGAAATGCAGGTGTACGACGCTACTAGGGGCTCCTGGCATCGCTACTAGGAGCAAGGACGCTACTAGGGGCTCCTGGCCGTACTACTAGGAGCAAGGACGCTACTAGTAACAAACAAGGGAAGCTTCTTGTTCCTAATAGCTTCTTGTTACTACTAGTAAGGCACTTGTTACTAGTAGCGATGCACTTGTTCCTAATAGACAGGAACAACTCTGGGAACGGATGTCAAGTCACGTCAAGCGGGCGCAAACCAGTGCTCTATCAGCCATCATGAGCTATCTGGGCGCTTTCGGCTTGTCCTCTTCGGGTTCTTCCTCCTTCAAAGTACATGAAGGTCTGCAAAGCACGTCAAAGGAGTCTTTGAAGAAGTGAAGGTGCTTTGTGTTCGAAGCCAAATGAGAAGACTTGAGAAGTGTTTTGGCGATCTGCATGCCTCGTCTGCCAACTTGGGCATGCTAAAGCCAAGCTCGCTCATCACTTTGACGATTTTCCTCGCTCCAAGTGCAACAATAAAAGAGCTTCTATCACTGCAACAACCAAGCAATTAATTTCCGTCTTCAAATTTGATTTCTGGTGCCTCTCATCAGGTTCAGCCTTGATCCTGATGAATCCTTCCTTTGCTCGATCATTCAGTGCCTCAGCTTCGTTCAGAGATGCTCAGAGCACCAAAGAACGTGGGCAAGACAGCGTCCACCCAAAAACCATTGGAACAGGGTATGATCAGAGGGAAAATGATGGAGCGGGTCTCTAGTAGTCCTCTATGTCTTCCTTGTTAGATGTGCTGGGACTCCCCCGCCAACGAGTCAGCTCCAATGCGCTGCCGTTGGTACGCCACCTCCGCTCGGCCTTTCTCTTGGGCTTTGGCCTGGACGAAGGACGCACTTTGCGACGAAGCGGCACAGTGTGCCATGGTGATTCATGATGATCCATGCTGCTCCGCCCATTACAAATTAGGAACAAGAAGCTACTAGGGGTTCCTGGCATCGCTACTAGGAGCAAGGACGCTACTAGGGGCTCCTGGCCGTACTACTAGGAACAAGAAGCTACTAGGAACATGCTCCGCCCATTGCAATCGATATGTACATAATGTCATCGATTGTTATGGTTACCGCAAGAAGGGACCATATGGAATCATTGTCGAGTCCTAAAGTGGAAGCCGTTCAGCCAGTTGCATTGGGTGAGTGAAGTCTCTTCGCTCTTTCAGATTCAGACCCACCCCTATAGGCCAGGGAATTCTCTTTGTTCTTTTAGCCTACTCAATCTATTCATATCGCCCGAACTTCAACTACAATGAAGCACCAGCCTTGGCTTGCCCTTCTGCAATTTTGAAAACCAAGGCTTGAGTTTGAGCCTCAAGAATCAGACATCTTCTGGACTCTGACTTGATGATCTCAGGACCGCTTGAGAATAACTCTGGGGTGCTGACATCTCTGGATCTTTGAATCTCTTCCCATCTGCGCCTGGCCATAAAGTTCATCCCATTGGATGACGGAATAGATAGACAGGAGCCGTCTTTTCTGCAGGTCTAAATTCCTCAAGCTCAAGAGTGTCTTTGAAGAGTCAGCCAAAGAATGCCAAAGACACTTCTGAAGCTCGCCCCATGTCTTGTATTTCACCTCCAAGGGATACAGAGGCTTACAGAGTGAGAGTTGGCAAAGCTGACAAGTATGGTACTTGCACAAAAAGGGCAGGACATTGTCGGATTCCCACAGCAAAAACCACACGACACCTATAAGACCCAAACGGATCGCCTCTCTGAAGGAATGGATGTCATTGGCACATTTCAGCTTCAAGGCCGCTCGTGCCTGCAATACAGCGATTGCTCGAGCTGCTGCCTAGAAATGGGTGTTCAGCCTACGAACTTGGTTGAATGAGGCCGTGATAAAATACTGAGCTGCTGAGAAAAGAAGCCTGCGAAAAGAGAACAATCTTTATCCCATTCGGCATTGCAACTTGCTAGATCTGCTGGAGTGCTCCGAATTTTGCTTTCGTGAACTTCTGCCGAACTAAAGGACCTTGAACATGTCACCTGCAACTCATGTCACCTGGAAATCCATCAATCACGGGTGGCATGAGTGAATTGATATGAATATGTGTGAATTGGTACAATCCGATTGCGGGATGACTCGATGACTCGCCTCTGATCTTTGTCTGGCAGCTTCTTGTCGAGCGAGCAAGTCAGAGTTGTTCTGTGCACGTCGTTCGGCGCTGTTCGATGTTGTTGGGACGCAGTTGGTGTCGAAGTCTATCAAAGGTGACAGGTCTGAAATGCAACAGCGATATACTCACAACTACTGCTGCTCATCCTAAAATAGTGCAAATGAATGCAAATTACAATACAAGATCTGAGTGATAAGATTTGGGAACCAAAAAATATGAGGTCGGTCAGCAAAAGGCACTCCAGCAATGTTTAGTCCAAGGTGGCCATGCGCCTAAATTCGGCTGGCATCCAAATGCAGTGTCTTGGCAAAACCAAGGAGATGATCGTCCAAGAGGCCAGTCATGTCGGCGTCCGTGCCTGCTCACGTTGGGCGCAAATTCGGGCATAGTTCCCCTTCCATTTAGCCTCGGCCTCACTGTCAGCTTCACCAGCGGCAGGGGTGCCAAAGAATCAGCACATGATGGTTGGTACAAGTTTGCATCCCTTAAAGTGGGCGGGATATTCCTTCAGAGTTCGGCGAGTTCAGAGCTCGTGTGAAACGCAGGGCCTGCTTGCAGAGATCTCCAGCTGATTTGGATCTAGCTTTCATGAAGTCTTGTCCAGCCTCAAACCGCGCAAGGCACAAGCAGCCACGGGCCATTTGAGGCATTTGCATGCATTTGCTGCTTTGAGTTGCTTGGTTCACATCCGCTCGAGCTAGGTCTGCAGCTTGGATGGAATTATCATAGCGAGCCTGAACAATAGGCATTGGGCAAAGCTGCAGCTGTATGGTCAACCAAGTCAGTTTCTGTAAGGCAATCTGCCTTGAATTTGGCATGATCCTGCAGCTTCTTGTCCACCCACTCCTGAAGCGAACTTGCACTGGCAAATTTATAACAGATCTTGGTACCACGATCCGACAGAAACCGGCGATGAGTCCTCACTCCAAACATCGGCCCATTCCCATTCACATCCCACCTCCGTGTGTACGTAGATTCTGATTTGTCTCTCCTGAAACTTGACCTCACCATCCCAAGTCGACAACAAAACGACTCAAGATAAGTCCCAATCTAGAGTTATCCTTCTAGCCATTAGCATGGTTTTGGCCCTCCACGCCCTATCTCAAGAAAACATGCTCAAGGTCTCAGGACAGGGCTCTGGATTCTTCAGCCTTTCGCTCGCATTCAGCTTCGATTTCTTCCCTCCGAGCCTGCCGGCATGATAAACTGCCGATCTTGATGCAGAAAGGTCGATTGAGGTAGTTGAAAAGGAACAAAAGAGAACAGAACACAGCTAAACAACCCAAATCATGTACAACAATGGCGGTTCTCTCGTAACATGTCACATGTCAAGCTGGTATCTTGACAGTGTGTGAGTTTGGCTGTCCACTCGTCTCTACTTCATTCTGGAGCCCTAAGGCTGGAGGCCTGCAGCCGCTCTTCAGCTGTCCTGTTGGCTTCCTCAATGCTTGCTAGAAGGGCTGCTTCTCTTTCTAAAGCCTCAACAAACAAGGTCATCATTGCTCACCAAATCTCACTGGTTGCAAAAGCTGTGCCACTTCTCCCACCTGGTCGAAACATCTTTGCCGCTTTCGCCTACCCTCCTCAATGGTGTCCTTGAGGCCTTCCTCAGTCGGAAGAATCATCCAGCCGGTGAGATTGAGAGAAGCCGCAGAAGCCCTGCCTTTGAATACATCTTCGTTCTCGTAGCTCTTGCCTCATAGGGTGCAGGCCGCTATTAGGAGGCACCAAGTGTACAAGAAAGACTCACCCAGGAGATGCCGACGTCTCTTGCCTTGTCGATCCTGGACATCAAGTCATCGTAGGTGTCGTCTTCCCATCTTGCCCGAGCTTCTGCAGCCTTCTTCACGTTGTTTCGCCGCATCTCCTGACAAGCAAACTGCTGTACCTACATTGTGCTACACTATACTACTATACCTTCAAGATACCGGTGTGCCAAAGCCAAACAACATAAAGTTTATCCAATTCTGTTTGAGCTGGGCTGGATGGAGGAGAACATGTGGTTGGCGAATCTGCTACTCACACCTGAATTCTTATAGCGCAAGACATGCTGATCCGTCTTCTCCCAAGTCGGCATCATGCCAAGCTCAAGCCAAACAAACTGTCTAGGCAAAACACAACCAAACAAGGGAGCCTTGCGAGTCAGCACACTCGACCTGCAACCACAATGACCTAGTTTGATTTGCACATGATGAAAATCACGTGTTCATTTTCCTGCGCGAATTCAATTACAGGTGACCTCGCTTGGTTCGGAAGATTTTGCTGTGCATTGCCTTTGCGAGTGAATTTGACCATTCCTCCAGTGGCAAAGCTCTTGCACAGCAAGAGCTTTTCTTTGTTGTCCATTCATTCGTCATGGCTCCCACTTCACACAAATGCATACAGTATGAGAGGCACCTGTGACACGCAGCTATTGAATCTCACCGCACCACCAAAGGGTGGACGCAGTGCATTCGTAACAAACTGATCAACGTCTCTGCGTCCTGTGCTTTTTCGTTCTCTTTCTTGCGTTCTGCGATAGCATCTGCCTGGCTATAACACTTGAACAGGGATTGTGGCAAAGGGAGTTACCAAGTCAACTTGGAACAATTTTGAGTCATGTTAGAGAGCAGGGAAAGCCGACAAGATCAATGGCATTGTATGGCGATTCAACCCTTCCCGAGCAGTGCCTGGGCCTTCTTGTATTCTTTCAGGCGCTGCTCCAGGGCCGCAATCTGTGAACAGTCCAAGCAGCTGCAAGCGGCTAGATCCAAACTAATGAACTTTCCCCAGCAACCTACCCCATCCCCTTTCCAGCCTTTTGGTCTGCCTCATCGAGTCTCTTTTTCTCCTTGGAACGATTGGTAATGGAAAAAACTTAAAGCTGAGCATTGTAGTTAAGGCAACTTCGCGATGTTCACTTTCCCAACTGCGTGCAAAAACATGGTCCCATGGCCAAGCCCCAAGCCATGAGGAAGCCTGAGGCTAGAAGGGCGGCTTTTCGCTGTTGTTCATCCTGGCAAACACGATCCTCCCGGCCACTGATATGGCTTTTACACTGATGTATGGTCCCAAAGTCTTCACATGTATTGGAACTTCTTTCTCTCAAAGCTTTGGGACCACTACGCAAAGCTTCGGGACCAGTCTAGTGTGTGGTCTATACTGGATAGATCCTCTCAGGATTATAAAGAAAACAACGGCTCCATCCGCCACAGCTGTGATCGGGTCCTTGATCTTTTGAAACCTAAGTGCCAGGCAAGGTACACCAACGAAAGAAGTCAAGGAGTCGGCCCGCAAGTAGTCAAGTCCCCTCAAGTCTGCCAAGGGGCGCTTTGTCTCGCATGGCCTCAAAATCGGCCATTCCGTCCAGGCATTCAACCTCAGCTAATGATGCGGAGTTGTTCGTTCACCAATGAGGAAAACAGGAAGACACCTCCCATGTCCTCAAGCTCCTCATGTCTAGCACCTCATGTCTAGCTTCGGCCAAGGAGCTGGAGGGAGGTCTTCCTCCAAAACCTGCCACAGACAGTAGAGGAATGACCAAAACGGGACCATTGGATTGCCACTCATAAATGCTACAATCTTCCTGACCTTTGTTTCCAATGGGGTCTTGCCACATGCCAAAGAAGAAGGCTGCAAACTCAAGATGTGCACCCAAGATGTGCTCACTTACCATCTGCTCAGTGCAGCAAAGCCACGGGACGAACCCCCTCACCTGAGTTCGTCAAACCGGACAAAGCTGAACAAGCTGAGCAAGTTCTCGTTGCGAGATGGCCAAATCCCGGTAACAAAACCAGAAAAACGGACCCTCTGAGGGAACATGCTACGCACATGGGAATAAAAGCTCTGAAAGAAGAGGTCTGGAATACACAGTGTTCAAAAGCCTTGCGCGAATCGTGGTCCACTTCAACCATGGATATAAGGTTCTTTTGGGGCGCACTTCATTGACGTGAATCCACTGTCGCCAAGCCACCAAGTTTCACTTTCAGAACTCGTCGGGCGTCATCGTCAGACAGGACTTAGCTTTTCACTGCAGAGGTGTGCGCGACACACGGAAAGCACCAAACATTGGTAGTTGGGGAAGTTGGGTAATCGTAGCACTTACAACAATTGGTCTCAAAGACAAGACATCGACCTAATCACTTGTTTGAGTGCCTTATAATCTACCTGAACTCTGCTTAGTGCTTCCAACCAACATGCTAGTTCTTAGCAAGCCTGAAACACCAAGAGTTGTAGCGGGGAGTAACGATCTGGGTAATCGGATGCTGTTGGATTGGACAAGACAAGATCCTCAGTGATGTACGTATTGCTTCTCAGGCCCCTGACACTGCAGCCTCTTTTGCACCTCTGTCAACCGAGCCCTTTTCAGGCCCTGTCAGCAACAAGTGCGTTGTCGGCTTCTTTCCATGCAAGCCCGGTGTCTGTGAGCATTGCAATACTAAACTTGCCTTCCCATGAAGCAAGCAACTCAAGGTCACTGCAGTTTCCTACAATATTGGAGAACTATGGCGATCCATCAATCTGAGTTCTTTGCCAACAAACAGATTGTAACAAGCTGCTCGTTGATTCCTTGAAGACGTTACCACCAGAATTATCAGATTGTGAATTAACTTGTGTGGCAGAAACAGCGTTGCATCAAACGCTTAGATAATCTTAAAATACTAAGATTGCTTAATAGTGAACCTTGGCCGATTGGGCCAGCCCCTTCAGGCCTCCCAGACTTCTGACCTTTCGTTGCCGATCTTCCTGGCCTTCAGATCTTCTGCATACTTGCTACCCTAATGCAAAGAAGGCTCAAAGTGGCCCATAGTCATATGATGTTATACATTGTTACACAGTTTGTTTGTTGATACATTACATCAAAAGCCGCGTGATCATGGTCGCATGACATACATAGTCTGCATCTGCATCAGTGTTACATTGTCTGTTCCACAGACAAGCGGCTGAGCACATGTCCAGATATAAATGTACGACAAAGCGTTTTTCAAAGTGTGGTTTTAGCTATGTTTGATTGGCTCAAATTGTCCACAGCATCTACGGTTGTTGGTGGCCTTTTCTGCATCCGGAACTTTGTGTGAGACCTCACATCACCACTCAACAATCTCAAACGGTAGCATGACTTGAACGGCCCCATCAAAGAAAAATTGTTCCTAGTAGCGAACCTTGTTACTACTAGTAAGGCACTTGTTCCTAGTAGCGTGGCACTTGTTTCTACTAGCGTGGCACTTGTTCCTAGTAGTAAGGCACTAACATTGGACAAATATCCATGAAGCTCACGTAAACCTCAGGCCACACTCTTGCAAGTCTTGGATCAGCACCTCAACCTCTTCGTCCTTCGATGGATCAAGATCCTCGCCAAGATGAACACGTGCCACCCCAACCCCACTGCACCAGCAACAAGGGTCCTCTTGATGGGTGAATAATTATGGTGATTACATACCAGGTCGATCCAGTTCGCATGCCTGGGGATTTGAACAAGAAAAACATGAAATATGAAGGTAAGGTCCCCTTCAACAAGGCTTCAAAGGGGGCTTTGAAGGAAGCCAAACAGCTTCCTTTCATCTCTTAGACTTCCTTTAGGACGTTGTCGGACTTCTTGTTATCACATCGCTCGAAAACATTCTGAAACGGATTGCTTCTGAAACGGCCCAGTCCTCGGGCTTTAAGCCGAGCCATGTCATAGTTGCCAGCAGCTTCTGGAGGCTATGCCTCTGAATCGGAGGAGGAAAGAGTTCTTCGGTCACCACTGGTGTCTTCAACGGAAAGCCCAGAGCATGTCATCTCGTTGGGTTTCACAGAAGAAGCTCGAACGAGCTGGGTGCTGGGATATCCAACAATCCAAGAACAGGTTGGTGGGAAGCAACAAGAAACGCATGACTCGGCATTACAAATGTGTGCAACTCTGTGGCTTGTGCAGCAGGGCAAGACATGTTCGCCAGTTCTGTTCTTTGATGTATCAACCGACAAGTGCTATCAACAGCGCTGAGCTGACAAAACCAAATGCTAGGGCTCCCCTGAGGTCCTGGCTTGTTTTGGGGGTCCACAATTCCTTGAATCTTGGCGAGCGTGTCATTCCTGCAGATGAAGAAGCTCGTGCAAAACACGACAACCCGTGACCAAGGCGGCCGAGGGGCTTTCTTTGGCTGGGCCGCACAGAGCCTAGGCAAAAGTCGGCAAAAGTATTCCTTTCCAACAAGAACACTAAAAGGCTATTATACTCCAGTCTTGGCCAATGCATGCGTTAGTCACTTTGGTCTCAACATGTTTCACCTTGTAATGAACGGCTCCAAACTCAGCTTGTGGCCATACTTTCTCGAAGGGAGATGCGGAATCTGATGCATTCAAGTTAATGCAGCATGGATCGCTGCATCCGGTGGGTCAGTAGAGTAGAGTTTGTTTGATCGGATGATTGTTTGTCACACCTCTGCCAACATGGCCACGAGGGTCGCGCACCTGAAAAAGTGCAAAAAGAAACACATCAAATCCCAGCACAGCCAAGCAGCGCCCGCCTGTGGCAAGCGCTCCAAATGTACAACGCGGGCAGCCCTTTGGGCCCGCTGAGCCATAAAACGCGTTTCAGAAAGTGCAAGAAGTACTGCAAGAAAACTTATGACAGACTGACAGACTTCAATGATCTTCCAGTCCTCTCAACGAAGTGGAGTTCTCTCAAAAACTTCAAACTTGACCAATGAAGGAAGGGAACATTGGCCGAAGCACGTCTCATCCACATTATCCTGCGCCTGAGTGCCCTCGCAGCCAGGCCATCTGCGAAAGCTAATGGGGTCCTCAAAGTGGCTTTGCCCTTACTTTTATCAAAGATCCCACCGGAATCTGGCCAGCCCAAACACAGGCAACAGTATTTTAAATGTCTTGTCCAAACTGGTCGAACAGGATCCAACGAGTTTGTCTTCTTTGTTCAAATCAAAGGCAATCTGTCTGAAGGTTTCTATCATATGTTCCTATTGTGTATCAATCCGTCGCTAAAAGCCTAAGGCACCGGCATCTCTGATACTCTCGATGGAGATTGCTCCATATCGCCGGTCATACCGAAGGTCCTGCAAAAAAGGCCGAATGCGCGCTCAACCGGGAAAAAATGGCTCGTCCTGAGGCGTGACTTGCGAGTTCTGGAACTTATCATTTTGCTTGCTGCAATTTTCCTGAGAGTTTGATGGTATTGTACACACTGCGCCTAAACTCAAACGCAGTGCATGGCTCAATGACCTCTTTTGCGACTAAGAGGTTCATGGTATACTGTATATTATATATATATATTACACATACATATATATATATGTCTGGGATGAAATCGAGCAGGCTGTGTGCGCCAATGACCACCGCAGTGTTCGGATTGAGTTCTGAAGAGACTACTGCAGTCGTGCGTGAATTCGTTCCTTCAATTCTCACATCCCCACTGAGGAGCCCGCCGCCAAATAGTCGAATGACCTGCCCACACATGGCAACGCTGCGGGGAAATCGCATGAAATCTCGCAACCAAAGTCCTAATAAGGACCAAAGATTGGCTGAGAACTATAGATTATGATTGGTTTGATCTTCAGGACCTTAAGTGGCGATGTCAAAGCTTGTGTGTCCGTCTGGAAGGGCCATCTGAATGCACTCCGTAACATGGGTCTTAAGATCCATGTTACGCCACCGTAGGGTTTACCGTAGGTATATATTACCGTATAAAACAAAAGATTCTCTCAACGAAGCACATGTCCTTTTGCACACCATGGAGGTCCGGAGGAGTGCATTGCAACGCCGAAAAATGAACCACACGTGGGACGCCGAAGCTTGGCCGCACGCCGAGGCTTCGTATCTCGGGAATCTTGGCTTCAGGCTGATGTGGTCGGGCGTAGTGCCGCCGCCACTTCGTTTTGAACTCATTCTGATGCAACCTTGGTGTTTTCTGGAACTCAAGAGTGAGTGCTCTCTTTTAGTTTCTTTCTTTTTGCATGATGAACTCTGATTGATGTAGCCGCGTTTCTGTCATTCCCTCAGGCCACGTGACCCGTTGCGCAGGTTCAGCTGCCAATCCAATTTCGGTGCGGCGCCAGACGAGACTCTCACAAGGCCATTGCACCTCGGCAGGAAAAGCAGTGATGACTCAGATCTTGGGGTCGTTTTTGGTGGTTGTGCGTCACCAAACAACCCCCGAAAAGACCTACAGCTATGGGCAAATTGAACGTTTAAGCTCGGGCCTGCCTTCACGTGCATCACCCAAGAATTCAAGACATGTACAGCATTGATCAAAAACACCTGTGGTTTCTGAGCAAATTTGAATCGCTTCCAAGTGACATGTGCGCCGAATTGGCGAAGTTCTGGTACTTCCCCAAAGACTGACTCTCACCAAGGTACCTCAGCTGGTCTCTGTTGGATTCCCGCTTTGGGAAAGAAAAAGAACAACCTGTCAATGGGACGAAAAGAATAGCTAATTGACCAACTCCCGAGTCTGAGCCGCCGTCGGGCCCTCAGGATGCTCCGGAGCCAAAGGTTCTCTCTTGGTTCTGCCTAAGGCAATAACGAAGCAACCAGCGCAATGATAGTCAGCGAAACACAAGCTCGCAAATCTGACACCACCAGAAGCCCAACAAAACACATTCAAATGTTCACAAACAATTCCTAATGACAAGTGATAGTATCACTGTATCACTGCCAAACAAATACCAAACAAAGACT